ATCAGCCATGATCTTATTGGGTAGTGGAACAGACTCATTGAGCTGAATGGCCTACTTCTGCTTCTATGAGTTATGGCCTTATGCAAAAATTAAACTTAAGATCTATCAAGCCAGGTTTTACTCCATGGGAAAAAGATTGCTCATTATTACCATCAGTTGGGATCATAATAGAGTGTAAAATGGCCTTCTGATTTACTGTCATCCATTTTGTGCTATTGCCTGAAGAGAATTGCAGTAATTTCTTTTCGATCATAAAAAAGTAGCTTGTAAAGAGACACTAACATGCAAAGATTCCTGCAGCGTGATCGATATCTTCTCAAAAGGAGGTCACTTCAAAATAAAATCACACTACTTGGGTATTTCAGGTTGACCTCGTTCAATCTTAAAGAGCTAAAAGGATTTGTGAAGTGACCCAGTCAGAGATGTAGATTCTGACTGACAATTCTCTACATGCCTTCTTTATCTACTTGGCTGCACCGAATTGGAAGTGGGTCTTTAACGTTTTATTCATTCACCAAAGAATGAAAAGGAAATTGCACTATACTCTACAGTCAACAAGTGACATTTGAACACTTTTTGAAACCCAAAACTTGTTTATCTATTATTTTGAATGTTCCCTCAAAGGAGTAATGTTTGACAATACACAATTCAAGTTTTTCACAACTGGTGTGCACCATAGGACATCGTCTCAATGATGACAATGGGAGTGACTAATCATTATCTGCGTTTGTGTTAGTTTGCCAGGTTACTGTATTTTCTAAAGGTGCCCTCCTCCCAAAGCATGCAATGGGAAAAGGGACATTTATTGTATTTGAGATAGTAGGAACTGCAGATGCTGGAGAATCCGAGACAACAAGGTGCAGGGCTGGATGAACACAGCAGGCCAAGCAGCATCATAGGAGCAGAGAGGCTGACGTTTCGGGCCTAGACCCTTCATCAGAAAAGGGGGAGGGGAAGGGGGTTTTGAAATAAATAGGGAGAGAGTGGGAGGCGGATAGAAGAGGGATAGAGGAGAGGATAGGTGGAGAGGAAACAAACAGGTCGAAGAGGCGGGGATGGAGCCAGGAAAGGTGAGTGTAGGTAGGGAGTTAGGAAGGGGATAGGTTGACTTTGAGCCAATGCCCAGGGGCTTACTTCACTCCAGATCCCTCAAACCAGATGCAGCAACTGTCATATAGTGCTCTGAAGGCAAATGACATTTTAGCCTTCATCGCAAGAGGATTTGAATTCAGAAATATTGCCTTACTGCAGTTATACAGGGCTTTAGTAAGACCACACCCTGGAATATTGTGTGCAGTATTGGTCTCCCTACCTAAGAGGATACACTTGCCAAAGACGGAATGCAGCAAAGATTCACTGTGCTGATACCAGAAATGGCAGGACTGTCATATGAGGAGGAATAGTTTCGACTGGGCCTGTATTCACTACCGTTTAGAAGAATGGGAGGAGATTTGATGAAATATATAACATTCTAACAAGACAACACAGATAAGATGCAGAGAGGATGCTTCCCTGATTGGAAGTCTAGAACCAGGGATCACAGTCCCCAGTATACAGAGGAGGTCATTTATGACTGAGATGACGAAACATCTTTTAACTCAGATAGCAATCATTAGACTGTTGAAGAATGAGGTTAGATAAGTAGTAATGGGAAACAGCGAAATGGCAGAGGAACTGGATAGGTACTTTGCATCAATCTTCATTGTAGAAGATACCAGCAGCATATCGGGACTTCAAGAGAATTGGGGCAGAGGTAGTGGTCATCACGAAGAAGGTACTGAGGAAGGTGAAAGGTCTGAAGGTGGATAAATCACCATGAAGGGTTACTGGCTGTGAGCTCTATCTCGCACACTTTCGCACTGCTAACCTCTTTTGGATCATGCTCGCACCATCATGCAGTACTGACCATTGCTGGGATTTCCCGTGACAGAACTCTAAAGCCCAGCTGTCACTTCACTGCAAATACAAGGTCAGATTCGTAAATGTATTGCCTCTTTACAGCATCACCTGTCTGATAAACTGTCATTATAACTGCAGCTATAAGAATGAAGTTATATAGTAAGGAATAATTTTGGAAAATATAATTGTTATGTGTCCTTTGTGCCCCTAACCCCGCATTTCCCATAGGCCCAGTTATGTACGTAGCACAATTTTCAAGTGCTGGAACACAACTATCACGTTATAGCAGAACCCACTGTATGGGAAATTATGAGCTCATGCACTTAGGGGCATAGACTATTTTCTAATTGGGGAAAAGCCTCAGAAATCTGAAGCACAAAGGAACTTATCCTACAGCAAGATTCTCTTAAGGTTAACTTGCAGATTCAGTTGACAGTTAGAAAGGCAAATGTAAATTTAGGATTTTGTAAGGGTTAGAATACAAGAGCAGGGATGTACTGATTAGGCTGTAGAAGACTCTAGTCAGACTGCATTTGGAATATCATCAGCAGTTTTGGGTCTGGTTTCTAAGAAAGGATGTGCTGGCACTGGGGGGGATCTAGAGGAGGGTCATAAGAATGATCCCAGGGATAAAAGGGCTTGCCATATGAACAGCAGTTGAAGACTCTGGTTCTGTACTCGAAGGAGTGTAGAAGGATGAGGGAGGAATACCATTGAATCTTACAGAATACTGAGAGGCCTGGATAGAGTGGATGTGGAGATACTCCCACTAGTAGGTGACACTAGGACTTGAAGGCACAGCCTCAGTGAAGGGATGACCCTTTAGAACTGAGATGAGGAGAGATCTCTTCAATCAGGGGGTGGTGAATCTGTGGAACTCATTGTCACAGAAGGCTGTGGAGGCCAAGACATTGAGTATATTTAAGTCACAGATAGCTAGGTTCTTGATTAGTAAGGAGATCAGAAAGCAGGAGAATAGGGTTGAGAAATATATTAGCCATGATTTAATGGCAGAGCAGACTACGGGCTGAATGGCCTAATTCTGCTCCTATATCATATGGTCAACCTGTGGAATTCACGACATGGAAGGATGTGGAGACCAAGTCAGTGAATGTATTTCAAGAAAGAGTTTTTTTTAAGATATTAAAGCATCAGGGGATATGGAGAGAAAGTGGGAATATGGTCTTGAGATTCAGAATCAGCCTCAATCATACTGAAAGATGGTGGACTAGGCTGAATGGACCGAATGGCCTGTTCCTGTTCCTAGTTTCAATATTTCCCCTGTTTGGACACAATATTCTCTCCACTAGCCAACCATGGCTACTGCAGGTAGGGACAGGAGCCACTGCTACCATTAACTAAGCTAACTTCAACAGCATTCGTCCGCTCCACAACTTTCAAAAACAAAACTATTGAGATGCCACTACCTTCCAAGTGTCACTCCATGTCAAGCATTATCTGACTTCACCATATACCACTGTGCTTTCAACACGAGGTCATACCAGTCCCTTTACCATGCCATCGTGACAGCACCATCAGCTGTTCGAGGAGGGCTGCCACCTTCTCAATATAACTGTGGCTTGGCAATACAAAAAAAACAGCATGGACAATAAGAAATCCCTGCCTCTCAAGAAAAATGTTTTAAAAGGCAAACATACTCCATTCTGTAGTGAATGGTGAAATTATCAGGGAGCTCTTGCACTTCTACCCCAATTATTTGCCATTTATGGGGAATTAATGGTCAATACTTCAATAAATGTTATTTTCTACATGTTTACTCAAGATAGGTCACAATTCATTTTTCTCTTTGGGAGGTTTAAATATTTAATTGTTTTATATCCCGTTCTACATGGCCCAGATATGTCACTCTGAGCACCATGGATTTACACCAGAGAAATTCAACATCTTTGAAATGATACCCATCTGCAAATCTTCCTCCTGCAAACTCATTTACAATAATTAACTTTGCTAAGATTGTTAAGAGAAATGACCAAAATGGATATTACATTGTAATTTGCTGCATCACTATTAAATTGTTATGGTGGAGGAAATAATGTAGAGTAAACTAACTGTGTCATCACTCATCTTTTCAATTCACATTCTAATACATTTAGAATTTATAACAATATTACATTCTGAAGGATTAATTTGCAGAAGGCAAGTCCTGGTCACATAGAGGACGCAGAGGTACAACTTCATCAGTATTCATTACGAAGCAGGAAACCAAGGCACGCTAGGCCTTAAATATCTCTTCAAAGTCATTGTTTTTAATTTCCCAATGCATTGTATTTTTCAGTCTCTAGCTTCTGCACGCACTAAAACAGCCAGGACGTCCCGAATATATGAATCCTTTAGCTTGAGCCAATCCGATTGATAAATTCTATTCTACTGCATTTTCCCTGAAATTGCAGGTGTGGATAAATCCACGTCGCATGTGTGACTGTGGTTGGATTTTGATGAGATCTTTAACAGAACAAAAGCTCCACAGCAATATGTCAGAATTAAAACGATCATTTACTATGTCGGTCTACGGCTGTTTCGCGTTTCCACACGAAGATCGCGAATCAATGGTGTTAAAGAATTCGCTGGAGATGAGGCTTTAAAAGAAGAGAGACTCCAGCTTCAAGAGCAATTGGGAATAATCAGGGAATGAACAACATTGCCCATTTGGATTCTCCCAAACAGTAATTCAGTGCTTGCTCCCTTAATTAAAAAAAAAATCATCGGGACATCCTTTGAAAGAAATCAGTGGTGTGATTTTTCTTTAAACATAATAAACAAGGTGAAAATGACAAGCGATTGACTTCTCGGCTGCATCATCCAGCGTTTGTGCCGCGACTTTAAAGAAAAATCATATTTTCACAGGGGGAGGGGTGTTGGTGGAGGGTAAACAGCTAATTCCAAACCCTTTGAAGGTTTAGCGATTGCTAACAAGCCCCTAAAAAAAAGCAGACGGTAACGATGTTTATTGTTCCCACCTCCTGCTCTCGGGGCTTTTCTTTTCTGTTTTAAAATGACAATAAAAAGAATGGCCAAAAACCCCAGTAGGAAAACACAAGACAGTTCCTTCCCTCTTCCCCCTCTCTGTGCTGCTAACTTACCTTGTGCACGCTGATCGCGTAAGGTTTTGGTGACCGCTTTCCACACATTACAGCCCAGTAAGCAGAGCAGGAGAGCGGCGGACCGAGAGAACTGGCTCATCATTTACAGAATTGCTCAGAGAAAGGAGACGGACGCCAGCACCAGTCCCACCAAGAGGCCGTCCATATTTAACGTTGTCCTGCTGCTTACCCCGGGCGCTCTACATCTCCAGCTGCACCCTGCACTGAGCTCCAGCCTCAGCTCGAATCAAAACCAGCAGCGTTTTTAACCCTCTCCCACCCACTCCCTGCCTCCCTCCTTCTCGCTGACTGCACCCCGAGAGGCGCGGTCAGGCGCTGCCGTGCTGTACTGTGGCGCCATCCGCCGCTCACTGCCCACTCTGCACTTTCTCAGCTCCTCAATCCTCACTGATCCCACTGCTGCTAGGGCAACTGTCTTATCATCAGGGCATCATCCGGCGCAAAAGGAGACCGTTCGGCCCACACTGCCTTTGAAGGGCCGTTAATCTCGTAACTGGAAAGGCTAGCACTGGTGGAGGCTCAGCCTTTGAGTACGTTTAAGGAAGACATTGATAGTTTTGTGATTAGCAGTGGCGTGGAATCTTATGGGGATGGAGTGAGTAAAAGGTTTTAAAGTGTTTGACAGATGTATGGCCTGCTCCTGTTCCCATGTTCCTGAAATAACTTCACCAGAGGCTGGCATCCTGTCACCAAGTCACCCTTTATTTACATGTGGAGAGTCCTTGACACTGTTCCAGCTCCCTCAGAGCCAGTTCTCAGAGTGAACAGAATCTCTGACACTCCTGTTATACATCTGTCAGCTAGGGCTCCCTGATTGAACCAGATTAACAGTCCCAATTAGGGATCTCATATTCTATGAGGTCCACCTGGTCACAATCACTACATCCCTCCCCCTCTGAGTCTCTTTATTCCTTTATTCATTAACGAGATGTGGGCATCGCTGGCTAGGCAGCATTTATTGCCCATCCCTAATTGCACAGAAAGCAGTTAAGAGTCAACCACATTGCTCTGGGTCTGGAGTCACATGTAGGCCAGACCGGATAACGATGGCAGTTTCCTTCCCTAAAGGACATTAGTGAACTAGATGGGTTTTTCCAACAATCGACAATGGATTCATGGTCATCATTAAACTCTTAATTCCAGATATTTTATTGAATTCAAATTCCACCATCTGCCGAGGCAGGATTTGAACCCAGGTCCCCAGAACCTTATCAGGGTCTCTGGATTGACAGTCCAGCGACAATACCACTAGGGCATCACCTCCCCCTACATGGAGTCTGAGGACGTAGGAAGGCTTTTTTTTGTAGCTCCTCCCAGTATGTTTTAGTACCAGGTCAGGTTCCTCCAACTCTACCTCAGACATGGGCAGCGTGTGATGCACAGTAGCTCGACTCTTCTGCCCGGAGCGTCTTGGAAGAAAGTCATTCTCTTCTTCAGGCAGCAAAGGCATTGAGATGGCAACATCCACCATGATGCCAACATCCATCTCAGATTCCGAGGTATCTTCACTGCTTGACAAAGAGGGAGAATCTCTGGGTTCCGGAACAGTCAGAAAGGCTGTCGAGGACATTTTGTTCCCACACATTTGTGAGTTAGCAGCTTTCATATGATCCTCTGCATGGTTCAGGACTGACGTACCTACCTGAACTTTATACATCACTGGACTTGACCTAACGTTGACCATGCCTCTTATCCATGCAGGGCTACGCCCGTGATCCCTACATCGAACTTCGTCCCGTGAAGTAAACTGTCTCTCTCACTTAGTGGAGTTTTCTGTCTGGCATTGGTGTTTCTGATGCCGTTTCACCCTTTCCCCTCCCCTAGGTCCTGGAGGATCAGATTTAACCTGGTGCGGAGTCCTCTCCCCATTAGCAACTCTTGTGGAGCTATCTCTGGAATTCCATAAGAGATGATCCTATAATCAAATAGGAACCGGAACAGCATGGTTTCTAGTGAAGCTGTAGGCTTTTCTTTAGGCCTCCATACAAAGTTTGGACTGCTCTTTCTGCCAGACTGTTGGATGATGAATGGTATGGAGCTGTCCTTCTATGTTGAATACCATTCAACTTAAGGAAATATTCAAATTGCCTGCTGGTAAATGATGGCCCGTTATCTGCAACCAACACTCCCAGGAGTCTGTGTATTGCAAAAGATGCGCGCAGTTTTTCTATCATTGTCTCTGTGTTTGGTGACTGAACACCATGCATGTCTGGCCACTTTGACTGAGCATCCACAATGAATAAGAACATTAAGCCATGAAAGGACCGTATACTGAACATACAACCAAGTCCAGGATTTACCCAGCCATTCCCATGAATGAGAGGGAGCTGCTGGCGATAATTTTTATCATTGTTGGCACTCTGGGCACTGACCCACCAACGCAGCTATGTCTGCATCCAATCCTGGCCACCAGACATAACTTCTTGCCAACATCTTCATTTCAGAAACCTCTGGATGATCCTGGTAGAGTTCAGCCAGTATCTGGTGGCAACCTTTGAGCGGAAACATCACTCATGCTCCCCATTATAATGTTGTCTTCTACCGTCATCTAGTCTTTCCGGGTCCAAAAAGGTTTCAGTTCTGGTTGTGACGGCCCTTTGGTTTCCCCCATCACCTCCTGCTGTTTCAGACTGGCCAGGATCGGATCTCTCTGCGTCCAATGTCTGATATTGTTAGCTGTGACTGGAAGTGCAACCAGAAAATTTAAAAACGTTACAAACTCTTCCAGTGGCAGTATATCTGCCAGCAGGAGACAGCTCAGTGCATCTGCATTTGCTACTTGCCCTCCCGGATGGTGTTCCAACTTGTAATTTTATGCACTTGGTATTGGAACCCACCGCTGAAGTTGGCCTGAAGCTATGGGCAGCCCTACTTTGCCCTCTTTAAGTGGACCAAGCAAGGGTTTGTTGTCCATTATTATTACAAACTTACATCCTTAAAGGTATTGGTGGAACTTCCTGACTCCAAATATGACTGCCAAACCTTCCTTCTGTACCTGGGCAAATTTACACTCTGCATTGGCCAAAGTCCTGGATGCATACACTATCGGGTGTTCCTCTCCAGTGGGCCACCTATGAGCTAACAGTACCCCAATGCCGTACGGGGAACCATCGCATTTCAATACCAAATCTCGCTTGGGATCATAGTCTGCCAATACCTTAGAGGATGATGATAGTTGTTTCTTCATTTCCCAGAAAGCCATGGCTTGGCTAACTGACCATTTCCAAGGCTGACTTTTTTTTTAAAGAATTAATGCAAAGGTGGTTATGTATGAATTTTTCATAATAAATCACCAGCCCAAAGAAAGACCTAAGCTCCTGGACAGACATGGGAGCTAGGCACCTTTGATTGCCCTCACTTTTATCTTCCAATGGGTGTAACCCAGTATTGTCAACTCTGTCAACTCTCTGCCTGGGAGAAATGTCTAAGGACTATGTCCAAGTCTCTAAATACTCCGTATTCATCTTCCCTGTTATTAGCACATCACCTAGATAAATGGCAACTTGGGGTAGACATTGTAAAATGTTCTCCATCGTCTGCTGAAAAATTGCACAGGCTGATGATACCCCAGAATAACAGTCTCGTATATTGGTACAAGCCCTTATGGGTATTAATTGTAGCATACTTCTGGGAATTCTCATCTAACCACAATTGCAAGTATGCATGGCCCATGTCCAGCTTTGTGAAGGTCAGCCCCCCATCAGCTTTGCACATAAATCCTCTATGTGAGGGATTGAGTATTTATCCAGCTGTGAAAAATGGTTTACCATTTAAAATCCGCACAAAGGCGAATTGATCCATCAGGTTTCACAATCGGTACAATCAGTGTTGCCCATTCCGCAAACTGGACTGGTTTCCATACAATCACTACAGTGTGGAAACAGGCCATTTGTCCCAACATGTCCACACTGACCCTCTGAAAAGCGTACCACTCAGACTCACCCCCATTACTCTATTCCTGTAACCCTGCATTTCCCATGGCTAATCCACCTAACTTACACATCCATGGACACTATGTGCAATTTAGCATGGCCAGTCCACCTAACCTGCACATCCTTGGACTGTGGGAGGAAACCGGAGTACCCGAAGGAAAGTCACGCAGACGGGGAGAACATGCAAACTCCGCACAGACAGTCGCTCGAGGCTGGAATCGAACCCAGGTCCCTGGTGCTATGAGGCAGTAGTGCCACCCCTTTGTTGATTCCTTCGCTTCCCAGCCTTCTGATGTTTTGCCTCTAAGACAAATGGCACTGGGTGGGCCTGGCAGAATCGTGGAATTGCTTCCTGGTTAAAGTGCAAGGTATCCTTGGCTCCTTTGATAGTCCCTAGACCTTTCTGAAAAATCTCCGGGTATTTAATTTGGAATTGACTCAGGCAGCCATTTCCTTATCGAAAAATGTTGAGCCAATCTGGGTGAATCTTTCTCAACCAATTTCGCGCCTTCAAGCTTGGACCCAAGCCTTTTACTACAATCACAAGTAACTGAACCAACTGCTTCTCATAAGAAACCTGAACTGAAATTGTGCCCTTAATCTGTAATGGTTCCCCAGCATAGGTTCTCAGTCTAGCCAAGGTCTTGCGCGAGCTTAAAGGTTGGAGCCCAGAGCAAATTTTGTTAAAGACTGGTTCTGTAATCACTGAAATGGCCATGCCAGTATCAACCTCCATTAGAATCGGGTGACATTAACCATTTAAAGACATTTATTTTGATTTGTTATGATTTGGATGTTACCAAGCAATTTAACTGTTCCAAACCAGATGTAGTGAACTTTCCAGGTTGTGCACTCGCCTGAATACTGGCTTATCAGTTCTCTTACTCAATTTAGGTCAAGAGAGACTCTCTTGTTGTCTCGAGTCCACATGCCAACAGCAACTATAATGGCTTGCTGGCTTAGATCCTGAAAACTTATTTTAGTCTTTGGGCCGAAGATTGGCTTTGTTTTGGGGTTTTGCTGTGGGCTGATCTAGAGTCCCTCTGTTCAGGATATGTCCTGAGTAAGGCTTTGCAATTGCCTTCTTTGAGCGGTGTTCCCCCAGCTCAGTTGGACTGGTGAGGGTGTTCACTTCCATCAGAATACCCTGCAACTCATATTTTCTTTATTAATTCACAGGATGAGGGCATCGCTGGCCAGGCAGCATTTACGGCCCATCCCTAATTGTCCAGAGGGATCTTAAGAGTCAACCACATTGCTGTGGGTCTGGAGT